CCTCTCTGCTCCACCCATGAACCCCCAAAGAGGCAAAGTGCTGGAGGAAGAGAGAAGGATGGCTCTTGCTGCATAGCCTTGGGCAAGTCCCAATCTCTTTCCCAGCCACAGCCTTCTCTCTGCCCCAAACAAAGCCCTTGCGACTTTCCCCAAACCCAGCAGGGAAAGCCTCAAGGATTTAGGGCACAGCACAGTGGCTGTGTGGCAGTGGAGGTGGGGTGAATGGACTGCTTAGAGATGGGTAGCCCTTTGACCCCTGCTCAAGCAGCTAAGCTATGTGTAGAGATCACTCATTAACTCAAACTTCTAATTGTAAACTTCTCCAAAAAAAATAGCAATTACAAGCAAGGTTCTGTCTGGGGAGGAAGTTACATGCTCTTCCTGGGAGGTGGGAGGTGGAAGGTGGAAGGTCCAGCCCTTTACGGCGAGCCTGCAGTCACTCGCGTGGCTGGCTCACAGTGGCTAACCCAGCCCCTCCTCTCCTTTGAGCTGCAGGTTTGGCCGAAAGCCCATCCTGTCCTGCAGCTACCTGATGCTGGCGGCCAGTGGCTCGGGTGCAGCCTTCAGCCCCACCTTGCCTGTCTACATGGTCTTGCGCTTCATGTGTGGCTTCAGCATCTCAGGTGTTAGCCTGAGCACCGTGATCTTGAGTGAGCCCAGGGGACGGGAGCGGGGACAAGGGGTTTAGGGAGCACCAGCCCGAAGCCGAGAGAGTAGGGTCTGGGCCTAGTTCAACCATGGGCCCCCTATGACCTTGGTAAAGCAAGGTGTCGCCTCTCTCAGGACCTCAGAGGCCCCCTCTGAACATAACAACGGCAAACATAATAGCAGCAGCTGTCAATTCTGAGGACTTACCCTGGGTCTGGCACTCCGCTAGGTACCTGATCTCATTCTGTCTCCATACACAAATAGGTGACACTATTATCCCCATTATACAGATAAGGAAATTGAGGCAAAACAAGGAAAGTCACTTGGCACTGGAGAAGCAGTCAAGAGAGTGGGTGTGGCAGCCAGACAGATCTAAGTTTGAGTCCCACGCTCTTGAGCCTCAGTTAACAGCATCTGCAAAATGGGGGAGATGGACCCTTAGGATCAGAGTCAGATCAAGTAGCCAGTGGGGGTGGGGGGTAGGAGCTAGTGCCCCTTCACAGGGAGGTGCCCAGGGCCCAGCAGGGCCCTAATCTGGTCCTTGGGCAACTTCTGCAGATGTCGAGTGGGTGTCCACCCGGATGCGGGCCATCACATCGACTACAATCGGCTACTTCTACACCTTTGGCCAGTTCATTCTGCCCGGCCTGGCCTATGCCATCCCCCAGTGGCGCTGGCTACAGTTCACCGTGTCCATGCCCTTCTTTGCCTTCTTCCTGCTGTCCTGGTATGTGGCCCTCTCCCCATCACCGCCTGCTTTAGGCCCACCAGAGCCAAACAGGGGTACCCCATGCTTGACCAGGCTGGCTAACCCTGCCTGTCCTGGGACACCCCTGTCCCAGAGTCAGGAAGAGCTTTCCAGGGAGGAGGAATTACCGACACAGAGGCACGCTGCAGGGGGGCAGCAGGTGTCTGGGGGGCACTCAGGGGCCGCCTACAGCCGAAGAAGGGGTAAGTTGAGACGGACGGGATGATGGGGCCAGGCTGTGGAGAGCTCAGAAAGCCAGGGAGAGACTGAGTCCGCCTCTGGTGTCGGTGGTGCTGAAAGGCCTGACCGAGCTTCTGGTTGTGAAATAACAGCACACAAGGACAGACCCAAGCGGGTGGGGGTGAGAGAGAAGAGAGGTGACTGTATGGGCAGGAGGAGCAAGGGGACAACTCTGAGAGGCATGTTGAAGGAAAAATCACAGTTTGGGGACTTCTGGATTTGAGATATAAAGGAAAGGAAAGCTCAAAGCCTGAGAACCTGGGACAATTGAGGCACCTAGGTCAGAGACCCACCCCCCCAGTAAGTCAAGAGCTCATTCGACACATTGACCATGAGGACACACTGAAGACAAGAGATGAATCTCTAGCAGGTAAATAGTTGGAGCCAAAGAACAGGAAATAATGAACTCAGAAAAAGAAATGACGTGGAGCGACCCTTTACTGAGTACTGACTATGTGCAAAACCCTGTTCCAGGCATTAACCCATATAGTCTCCAACCTTCACAGCATCTCTGTGTGAAGGAGGCATTATTCTTCCCATTTCACTGATGAGGAAACCGAGGCTCAGAGAAGTGAAGCAATCAATCCCCCAAGGTTACACAAAAAGATACAGAACTGAGATGGGACCTCCATTTGGAAATGAGAAACAGAAGCTTCTAGAAGGGATGGGCAATCTTGGGGTGAGGGATGGTCAGAGGGTCCAGGGTAGAGCCAAACAATGTCCGCAGCCTTAAGGTGGGAGCAGAGAAGGAGCAGAAAGTCAAGAGACAAAATAAGGGCAGGGGTCAACGTAGTACAAGAGCTCGGGACTCGTTCGTTGTGGGACTTGGGACAAGCCTCACCCACTCCAAGCCTCAAGGTTTTTCTAAGCAAAATGAAGATAATAATGCCTGTCACCCAGAGTTACATGTGCCTGGTCCACAGGAAGTCTCACTAAATGGAAGCCACGGTTGTCATTATTCTCAGAGAGGAGGATGGAGTCCAGGTCCTGACTGTGGTGACTGGGCAGAAGTCACTGATAATCTTGGTGAGAGCAGGCTGAGAAAGCTGTCAGGGCAGAAATGGAAACCAAAAGGCCAGGAGGGCCGGCTGAGTGGCTCAGTTGGTTAAGAGCTCGCTCAAGAGTGCGAGCTCCGAGCAACAGGGTTGCTGGTTTGATTCCTGGCCCGAGCTGAGCTGCCGTCGAGCTGCCAACAGGTGGCAGGGTGGCTCAGCTAAAAAAAACAAAAACAAAAAAAAGGCCAGAAGGGTGGGTAGCAATGGACCCTGGAAGCCACCACTATCAGTTGGGCCCAGTGGTTTGAGGCCACGTGACCAATGTCCACTCCTCCAAGGGCCTTGCTGGAGCCGGGTCCTGAGGGCCTGTGGGGGCTGATTTCACCTCAGACCCGCTTTTTCCAATCACTCCTTTCTCTCTACATTTCTGTCTCCCCATTCCCCTTCAGCTAATGACCCTCAGTGATGGCTCAGGGCAAACCAACCCCAAAAGCACAGCCTAGAGGTGGGGGAGAAAGAGGCTGGCAGCTCACTTGCTAATCCCAAGACCCCATGCTGCGCTTGTGCCCACCCCCCTCCACCCCACCCCCAACCAGAGCAGAGTCCGTCCTTTGCAGGGAGAATCCAAGGGTCCTCTAACCCATTCCCTAGGCCACAGCCCTAACCTTAGCCCCCTTTCCAAGCTGCCCTGGGACTGTAGCCCTGCCCCTTATTCTCCCAAGACCTGGAATACAGCCCAAGGAAGGCTGAAGAGGCAGGCATGCAGGACCCTCCAGCTGTCCAGCCTCCCACGTGCCACCCCTTTCCCAGGCCCCACCTGCCTTGGCCTAGGGCCCAAGGCTCCTAGCTAAGGAAGATGCCCAACGATAACAAGCAGCCCAGGTAGGGGGCAGAGGAAAGGCTCTCGTGGGAGGGGGAGAAGACAACATTGGAATTTGTGCTGGCTGCAGGCAGCCCAGGCGCAAAGCTTGGCCAAGTTTAAATTCCATGAAATCTGCAGTAAGGCAGCTCGGGTTTCTGGGCCTCCAACCCCTTGGCCCCGGCTGTTGATGTCCTTCCAACTTCTCAAAAGGGCTTCTGGCATGGGGTGAGCCATTGTGATGATTCTGGCCCCCAGGTGGGTACCAGAGTCCATACGCTGGATGGTCCTGTCTGGGAAGTCTTCAAAGGCCCTGAAGATTCTCCAGTGGGTGGCTATCTTCAATGGCAAGAAGGAAGAAGGAGAAAAACTCAGCCTCGAGGTAGGGGCCATGAGGAATTGCAATCCGGAGCAGGAAACTGGGCTCTGACCTCGGGCTGTACCCTCCTTCTTGCCTCTGTTCCCCTGCTCACAAGCCAACCTCACACTTGACGCTCTAAGCAAGCTCCTCCCAAGGCAGCAGGCCTGTACCTTCCTTTCTTCTTACTCCTGCCCACCAGCTGCTTACTAATGGCACCCCTTCCTCCTCTGCCCCAAGGAGCTCAGACTCAACCTGCAGAAGGATATCTCCTTGGCCAAAGCCAAATACAGCATAGCAGACCTCTTCCGGATACCCATCCTACGCCGTGTGACCTTCTGTCTTTCCCTGGCCTGGTAACCCCCCACCCCTCCCTGTCCATACCCTAGCACCTCTGTCAAGGCTAGGGTGATGAACAAGGCTTCCAGCAGGCTCACCTCTCAGGTGAGCAAAGCCTAGGGCACCTCCAAGGGGAGTCAAGAGATGCCCTCCCCTGGGCTGCCCTAGCCCGGCCCCGACCTCAGAAATCTGCTGTGTCCTTGCCCCAGACCTTAGAGTCTGCTTTCCTCTGGGGCCACACTCACCCCACCCACAGGGACAATGTTCCAAACTCCTTTACCAGCTCACATCCCCATGCTGTGCCTCTCTGCCACTGCTTCCCACCAAACCTGCCCTGCCCTCTGAGACCCCACAGAGCAAGACTGGTCCTCAGGCCTTGAGATAGAAACTGTTCCTCCTGAGCCTTCTGTTCTGTTTGACATTCCACAGCGCCTTCAGAGCCCTTTCTGTGGCCTGGTTCTGAGACCCTTCTCCATCCTGGCCACCTCCAGATAGGAGCCAATTTGTCCAGGAATTCTTCTTCCAAAGTGATCCCACACTTCTAAGGAGCAAAGGGAGAGGCATTGGACCCATGTCCACAGCTCAGCTCCCACCTCCTCCATTCTAGATGTTAAACTATTACCCAACCAAGAGAGATCATTTACTGCCTCCTTTGGTCTCTGAGAGTCCCTCCAGCCCTGATATTCTCTGGAGTTACTAACGTGGCATCTTTGCCACCACACTCTTGACCATGCCCATGTCCAACATAACCAATCAATCCCAGCACTTTCTCACTGAGTCCAGCCAGACACAATCTCAGAGACCTCAAAACGGCACTCAAACAGTCCCTACTAAGCAGTTGCAGTTGGGACCAAAAAAAAAATGAAACTATTCATCATCCTGGTGACCCACTGACCAGTACAGGGAAAGGCCCAGCCTGGCAGCAGGTGCTAACCAATCCCTGCCCGCCCCTCAGGTTTTCCACCGGTTTTGCCTACTACAGTTTGGCTATGGGTGTAGAAGAATTTGGATCCAACCTCTACCTCCTCCAGCTTATCTTTGGTGGGGTCGACATCCCAGCCAAGTTCATCACCCTAATCTCCATGAGCTATCTGGGCCGGCACATCACTGAGGCCACTACCCTACTCCTGGCAGGAGGGTCCATCCTGGCTCTCATCTTTGTGCCCTCAGGTGAGAAGTTGGAACTACCCCGGATCCTTCTGAAAGAGGCTGACCCACGCAGGCCAGTGCGTCTGGGCATCACAGGCTGCCAGAGGCGGGGAAGTGGGGGTGCCCGGGATTCTGATTCTGCTGTCTCTAACTCATTGTGTTACCTTGAGCAGGTCCCTGTGTCCTCTGGGGCTCAGATCTCCCATCTAGGAAATAACTCAATTGAGCTAGATGCTATCAAAGCTCCTTTTCCAGATCTGATTTGCGCTAGGCAAAGTATGGTGATGTCTGGATGGTGTGCATAATTTATCGAGGTTGGGCATGGCCTGTGTGACATTGCTGCAGAAAACGAGCTGGGATGGGGATTCAACAGAGCCCAGTGCTCACGGAAGACCCCACAGCCTACTGCACCACCATTTTGGAAAAGCCACTTTCATTTTATATAGATGTTTATATGCTGACACACCTAAATCCTTCTAAAGGACCTTGGGATATTTTAGGACAAGAACATATACAACGAAATATAAATGGAATAGGAAATCAGAGCCAGGAAAAATCACAAATGCAGCAGGATGCAAACCTGCAAAGCCCTAGGAATAGCAGAGTGTCTATTACGCAGCTTTCAGTTTGGATCTGAGCTTCCCAGCAGCCAAAGCAAAAAAGGGAGCCCCAAGGCCCCACATGTTCTTCCCTCCACAGACTTGCAGACCCTGAGAGCAGTACTGGCTGTGTTTGGGAAGGGATGCCTGTCCAGTTCCTTCACCTGCCTCTTCCTCTACACAACCGAGCTATACCCCACAGTCATCCGGTAGGTGCTGGGCCGAGGGCTGGCCCTGCCAAAGGATACAGGGTCAGGTGGGGTTGTGGCATCCTCCTGACCCCTGCCCAGGAGTTCCAGAGCTGTCCTTTCAGGATCCCACACACAGGCTGCCAATCCCTGCTCTGAACTCTCCTAGGCAAACAGGTATGGGTATAAACAACGTGCTGACCCGCGTGGGAAGCATGACAGCCCCACTGGTGAGAATCACAGGAGAGTTGCATCCCCTTGCCCCCAATATCATTTTTGGGACCGCCGCCGTCCTGGGAGGCAGTGCTGCCTTCTTCCTGCCTGAGACCCTCAATCAACCCTTGCCAGAGACTATCCAAGACATAGAAAACTGGTCAGTTCCCTGCTTCTGGCCCTGTCGGTGTTCCTCCTTGGGGAAGCACGTCTAGGCCCAAGACTTTTCCTGAGCTCTCTTTCCCTACCTAGGTTCCCACGGGGAAAGGAGCCAAAGCAGGAGTCAGAAGCAGAAAAGGCTTCCCAGAGGATCCCTCTGCAGCCCTGTGGACTGGACCTGGGCCCCAGCTGAGGGCAGCAGAGCCCCCTTTCCCTGCCTCCAGAGACTAATCCCAGCCAGGTCCCTGCCTGCCTCTGGGCTCCACGGGCATTTGGAGAGGCCCTGGGCGGGTCCATGCTCTTAAGACAAAGTCTTCTGAGAGCTTGGTGAAGGCATTTCCACCACCACAAGCACAGCCCCAGCCCAGACCTGACCAGTTCAAAGATTCGACCATCAGCCTTCCCTTCCCCCTTTGTCCTCGTCCTCCCTGCAGTCCAGGCCGTGCCATTCTTCTGCCCAGCCCTTCCCCACCGTCACCTCTCCCATTGTTCCAACTCCCTTTTCCTGAGGTTCCCCAGATTCCCTGGCTCAATCCTAACAAAGACAGCCTCCCCTTCTGGCCCTCCACCCCCTTCTTCAATGGGAGGTTTCAATAAACGGCAACGAAGAACTCATGCTGCTCAGGAAGAGGGAAGAGGACGGGGGCAGGCCACTGTGTGCCCATGTGAGCTGCACATCTACGCATCTGCACTTGCTTACATGCAAGCGTGGGCACACAGGTTAACGCAAGCTGGGCTGATGTGAACGTGTGTGTGCATGTGTGAGTACACTGAGCTATATATACACCTTACACATTAGTCTGCTCTAGCTACGATAACAACGTGCCACAGACTGGGTCACTTAAACCACAAACATTCTTTCTCACAGTTCTGGAGGCTTTCTCACAGCACCAAGATCAAGGTGCTGGCAAACTCAGTTCCTGGTGAGGGCTCCCTTCCTGGCTTGCAGCTGGCCGCCTTCTAGCTGTATCCTCACATGGAGGATAGAGAGAGAGAGAAAGAGGAAGCAAGTTTTCTGGTGTCTCTTCCATAAAGACACTAATCCCATCATGAGGGCCCCACCTTCATGACCTCATTTAACCCTAATTATCTCCCAAAAGCCCCACCTCCAATTACCATCTCACTGGGGGTTAGGGCTTCTACATAGGAATTTGGGCAGGGACACAATGCAGTCCATAGCAAGTCCTGTGCTTGGGAATGTCACGGGTGTGTCTACATGTCCCAGCAAGCATGTGAGCAGATGATTGGACAAACCCAAAGTGGCTGCAGACAGAAGCCGGGGCGCCTCCAATCCTGATCTTCCTGCCTTGCTTGCCCCAAGTCTCTGATCCATGTCCAGCCCCACACCCATCAGACAGCTTTATTTCCTATTTAACTGAGAAAACTGCAGCCAAAGCTGACCACCTCTGATGTTTGCTGCCATATTTCCCGCATTCCCTCCAATCGCAGCATAAAGACCGGTCCTCCCCTGGAGGCCGGCATCCAGCATCTCCCACCAGCCACTGTCTGCTTTCCTCCTTGGGTCTCTGCCCATTTCCTTTCTCCTGGCTCCTTTCATCACCAGTTAAATAAGCTCTCGTATCTTAACAAACACAAAACAAGCAAACAAATGCTCCTTGGCTATCACATCTCCCTCCAGAGACCACGCTGTCTCTTTCTCCCATTCACAGCCAAACTTCACCAAGGAGCCGTCTGCCTCCCCGCCTCCATTTTCTAACCTCATACGTCTCCATACCACACTCTGGCTCCACCCTTCCCCTGAAACTGCTTTCACCAAGGACACTCATCACCCCTGTGCTGAATCCATAGGTCACTTTTTGTCACTCCTCTTATGTGGCCTCTCAGCAGATTTGGTTCTATTGGCCACACCCTCCTCCCCTGGTTTCTGAGATGCCACGAGCTTGCAGCTCCCTCCCACACTCAGGCTGCTCCTTCTGAGTCTCCACTGGCGTTTCTTCAAGGGTCTACATCCCCAGAGCCTACTAACTGAACAGTTACATGACCCTACACCTCTGGTCATGCCTGAGTGGACCAGATGGCACTGCTGATCCAAATCTCGTTAATCACGTGTTGTGTTCTAGGCGGGGTTTTGAGTCATGGAGGTTCTAGTCCATCTCTTGATTCTTGGGAAGGCAAGTTAGCAGGAGGATGGCTGGCCCAGGTGCAAGTAGAGAACAGAAAGCCAGCAGCAGAGAATGAATGAAGCAGGTGCACAAAAAAACAGAACCAGTGACAACAGGGGCCCAGATAAACGGAGCTGGTGAGGCTATTCACACTGATTCTTAATGGACTTCAAGTCCCAGATTCTTATCAGCACTGGATGCACTTTCTGACCTGGGTTCTAGTAAATATCCCTGAATTCTCCAAATAAATTTCCCTTTTAGTTTAAGCTAAACTCAAGGATTTCCATTCCTTGTAACCAAACCATTCCAAAAGCAGCTCCTCTTCCTCTATCATCCCTTAAATGCCGACACGCCTCAGAACTCCTTCCTAGGACCTCGTCCCTTAATAATCTTTCCAGCACTGTCCAATGGAAATATGATGCAAGCTACCTATGTAATTTTTAAATGCCTAGTAGCTGTTTTTAAAGGTAAAAAGGTGAAATTATTTTAATAATACATTATATATTATACTAATAATACTTTTTGTCTAACCCCATATATCCATATGTTGCCATTTCCACATGTAGTCAATATAAAAGGTATCGATGAGATATTTTATAGCCCTTAATTCATACTAAGTCTTCAAAATCGGGTGTGTATTTTATCCTAACAGCATGTTTCATTTCAGACGAGCTTGATTCAAGCACTCAGTAGTCACTAGTGGCTGCCATACGGAACAACTCAGACACACCCAGGGCTTTGATTATCAGCCACAGAGCTAACTACTCTCAAATCCATATTTATATAATTAAGAGAAAGCTTAATAAACATAAAAGAGATCATATTTCACCCCTGCTTCAACCTTTCAGTGACTTCCCATTGGGAGGAGGTATAAACTCTGTTACGAGGCCTGTCAGGATCAGGCCCCAGTCTGCTTCAATGGCTTCAGTTTTTAGCACTCTCTACCTTGCACCCTGAAATCCAGCCTCATTCCACTTCTTTCAGTTCTTAGACTGCACCAACCTTCTCTTGCCCCTGCCCTTCTCACATCCCAGCATTTGTCTTGTCCCCATCCCATTCCCACTGTACTTGGCTTAGAGTCAGCTGACCACTTTGGGGCCACCAAGGCCTCCCTTGGCCTGACTGGGTCTCAACCTGGAGGGAGAAGAATTGGGCTCAGTGAGGAACACTAGCCACCTCACTCTACCTCCACCTTTCCGCTGTCCAGTATTCAGGGTAGCTCCCAGGATGTCCTCGTCATGGCCATTCCTATGCTGTTCCAGAATATGTATTGCAAAGACACACAGGAAGGGAAGGGAAGATGCCCAGGAAAGCACTTCCCAGTCACGTGATAAGGGCTCCTGGTGAACTGGGATGCCAGTCAGGATGCACTGACCCTTCACATGGCTCACTCTTCTTGTCATTCCCAAACCCTATGCTGGATCCCACCATCTCTTCAGCTCACCTTATTCCTCTCCAACTCCAGCTCTTACCTGCTTCTCCCACTCCCTTCACTCTGTGCCTGGGCAGGGCCTCCAAATGGCTCAGTGAATTGCCAGAGTCCTCGCTTGGACAGAGTCCTCATGCTGAGCCACCTCATTACTTACTGGCCTTATGTCCAGCCTTTAAATGGCATTCTTTGGATGAGCTTCTATTTTTTTTTTTAATTTTTTTTTAAAGATTTTTATTGGGAAATTGGGGGAAGGGAAACAGACAAGTTGCTGTCCTTTTGTTCTTCAGTCTAGTTGTGGAGGACGTTGCTTCACTAGCTCAAGTTGGCACCATCATTGCGCTCTTCCCGGGTGAGGCAGATCAGTCACCGGCTTCTGGACGGCCGCTCACAGTGGCTGCTGGCCGCTCATGCTGGCTGCTGGCTACACACGGTAGCCCATAGCAACCCACTGCAGCAGGGGCTGCAGCCTACGCAGTCGCCAGCCACTCACGGCAGCCCAGCTCCAGATTGAGCTGTTGTTCAGCATCTTAGCTGTAGAGGGAAGTGTCACGGGCCCTCATATGTGGGATCCAAACCGGGGCCCTCTGGCGTCCCAAGCCAGCTCTTAACCAATGCGCCACTCGGCCGACCCGAGCTTCTAGTTTTTGCACCATCCATCAGCCAGGGTAGCCAGGCCATAAGCATAAAGCTCACAGTTTGGGTCCTTGCTCAGAATCTTGCTATGGGCCTGGCAGGCACTCGGAGCCTGTCCGACTTCTCTCCAGGTCAATCATTTCAAATTCACATTTAGGGCATGTGATCTGAGCAAGACTGTTTTATTTGGTCTGTTACTTATTTATTTGAAAGGTGTCAAAATAATAAAAATAAAAATCACATGTAGTCACACCCCTTAAATCCCATTTATTTAACAGAATAAAATTATACAAAACCCAGGTGTCTCAGAAAATCTGGGATATGTGATAGCTGCTAGCATGGTAGAAGGAGAGATGGAATCAAGAGGGCTGAGCTCTAGAATTGTTTACTGTGTGACCATGGACAAATCCCTTGCCTACTCTGAGCCTCATCTCTTTACCTTCACAATAAGACATTTTTACCTGTGTGATGGCATTCATCTCTGATGGCATGTGTTTCTGTGGCTCTTGGCCAATCAGAAGTCCCTAGATTTGACCTATTTGTCCCTAGAGGATAGCTCTTGGCTCTGCAAATCATTTGTCATGTGACCATTTTCATCCAGAAACTCTCCATGAGCTGGGAGGCTGGTGAGGAATCCCCATGCTAATAAGATGATTCCAAGAACCAACCACAATTCAGTCTCTGGAGTTTCCAACTGAGCCTTTTCCAGACTCAACCTGGCTGAAAGCTGGTCAGGCACTAGGGAGGGCGTTCTTCTCCAAAGCAGGGTTGGGCACAGGCTCAGAGAAGGAGTGTGCTTGGAGAGACCCACCACCTCCACCGATGCCCCAGCATTGCCCCCACTCCCCCATGAGGGCACCAAGTCCTGCCAGGAAACTGGCCTCAGAGCCCCAAGCTGTTTGTCCAGCTGTCCTCATATCCCCAGGCCGCAAGGCTCTTATATACCTTGGCGTAGAGCATGTTTTCAGGCATCTGGACGCCCACTGGGTCCCAGCCCAGAACCAACAATGGGTGGGAGAAGGGGGACTAGGCTGAGCCACATCCCTCTCTGGGCCTCCCTTCTTCTCTTCTGGACATATAAGACCAGATGATCCCTAAGACCTCTTTAGCTGGGCAGTCCACACCTCTAGAGCAGCAGTTAAGAGGCTGGCTTTGAAGTTAGACAGAACAGGTCTGAACCAGTCTAAGACCTCATGCATCCCAGGGCCTTGATAGACAATAAACACCCTCCCAACTTAACACACAAAAGTGTAGTTTGTGTAAACTGCATGACAACAGGGCATCTTGACTCCTTCGAAGAGAAGTCAGAAATCAAATTGCTTCTCCTCCACAACAAGATGGAAATTGAGCCCAGAAAAATTGAGAAGTTCTCCTTGCCTTCATGGCCCTTTGCATCAGATAATTTGTACAGGGCCTGGGGTAT